GCCGTGACTTGCACCCAGGAACCAGAGAGGAGGGAGCCCAATTCCTCACAGGGTTGCACCATTCCACCTTTGGCTGTGGGTTATGTTGTTCCTTGGGCACTGTCCACCTGAATCTGGTTTACTACACACTTGCGTTTGCATTCCACACCCTGTACGACAGCAACTTTGCAGAGTGCCCTCTTGCACTTTGGGACCTCTCGGGGATGTTGGAGAGCTGACTTTGGCCTGATCCCTGCAGGCCAGGCCAAGGAATCCGTTCTGTTGGAGGGACCCCTGCTCACTCCACAGACACCCTTCGAACCATGGTGCCGTCCCAGGAATTCTAATTAATTTCCTTTCAATGTGCATGAATTCCTGGACCGGGCCACTAGTAGGAGTATACATAGGCACAATTTTTCTGGTGGTAATTTGGAAATGTGTATGGAAAGCCTTAGAATGTTATTTATTCTTTGGCACAGAAAGTTAATCTCTAGGATTGTTTTCCCAAAGAAGTGATTAGAAGTACTTACCAAGATGAGGCATGTTTAAGAATGATTCTTATAGCCAAAACCAGTTTGGCTCACTGGAAAGAGCATCGGCCTGCGGATTGAAAGGTCCCAGGTTCGATTCCAGTCAAGGGCATATACCTTGGTTGCAGGCACATCCCCAGTAGGGGGTGTGCAAGAGCAGCTGATCGATGATTCTCTCTCATCAATGTTTCTAGCTCTCTATCCCTCTCTCTTCCTCTGTAAAAAATCAATAATATATCTATCTATCTATCTATCTATCTATCTATCTATCTATCTATATATTTAAAAAGAATGATTCTTATGAATAATTCCCCTGAAATTGGAAATAACCTTGAATTCTAATATGGTGTTTCTTTAGTAAATTATGATAAATCTGCAAGACGAATGGAATATAACCTTTATTTATTTATTTATTTATTTATTTATTTATTTATTTATTTATTTATTTATATATTTGAGAGAGGAATGGAGAGGGAGAAGAAGATTGAGAGGGAGAGACATCGAATTATTGTGCCATGCATTCACTGGTTGATTCTTGTATATGCCCTGAAGGGAACCTGAAACCTTGTCATACAGAGACAGTGCTCAAATCAACTGAGCTACCTGGCCAGGGCCCCATATAGCCTTTCAAATACCATTCTTAAAGGGCATCCTAAATAATAAAAGGCTAATATGCAAATCTACTGAACAGCGGAACAACTGGTTGCTATGATGTGCACTGACCACAGGGCAGTGCCACTCAGCCAGAAGCCGAGCTTACAGCAGTCAAGCGCAGCAGTGGTGGTGGGAGCCTCTCCCATCTCCTCGGCAGCATTTAAGGATGCCTGACTCCTTGAAGGCCTACGTCAGTTGGACATCCCCTGAGGGCTCCTGGAGTGTGAGAGGGCACAGGCAGGGCTGAAGGCCCCCCACCCTGAGTGCATGAATTTCATGCACCAGGCCTCTAGTTTAATAAAAAGTCAGGTTATGAAACAGTATAAATAATAATATTCCAATTTTCTAAAATTATTTTATCTGGATGTAAGTGCACAGAAAGTAGGATGAAAAGGTAAGATTATAAATATTGGGGAATGGGGGATATAGAAGAGGGTATGGGGGGGATAAATGGTGATGGAAGGAGACTTGACTTGGGATGATGAATATACAATACAATATATATTACAGAACTGCACATCTGAAACCAATATAATTTTATTAACAGACTAGAGGCCTATTGCACGAAATTTGTGCACTTGGTGGGGGGGGTGTCCCTCAGCCTAGCCTGTGCCCTCTCACAGTCTGGGGCCCCTCAGAGGATGTCCCCAGGGGGATCTGCCTAAGCCAGCATTCAGACATCCCTCTCGCAATCTGGGACCCTTTGCTCCTTACTGCCCCCTGCAGTGGAGGTGGAAGAGGCTGGGTAATTTTCTTGCTGTTTGTACCAATGCAGTTAAAAAAAGATATATTTCATTGATTTTTTACAGAGAGGAGGGGAGAGGGATAGAGAATTAGAAACATCACTGAGAGAGAAACTGGGACTCTTCAGTCTGTAGGCTGATGCTCTATCCACTGAGCCAAACAAATTTGGGCCCAATGCAGTTTTTATTTTTTTATTTTTTATTTTTAAAATTAATTTATTTATTTTTAATATATTTTATTGATTTTTTACAGAGAGGAAGGGAGAGAGATACAGAGTAGAGAGTTAGAAACATCGATGAGAGAGGTCATCGATCAGCTGCCTCTTGCACGCCCCCCACTGGGGATGTGCCTGCAACCAAGGTACATGCCCTTGACCAGAATCGAACCCGGGACCTTTCAGTCCGCAGGCCAACTCTCTATCCACTGAGCCAAACCGGTTTCGGCCCAATGAAATTTTTAAATATCAAGAAAAGGGGAGGTATTTTTATTATAGAATAATAATTATAGCGACAGCTGTGCACTCATGCTGAGATCACAGCTTGCATATTCTGGGAGATGAAGAATCTCATGCTAGTTCTATTAATCAAAATAACATCTCAAAATAATGGAACTAACCGAGGAGTGCAATGAAATCACTGTATATAAGATTTGCCACAAACCTGGAAGAAATGACCCTAAAAGAAAGTGCTAATATGAGGAAAAGAAAAGAAAAATCAGGGATAGAGGAGGAAATGGAAGGCAATGAATGTAAAGGAATAAAATTCTTCTCTGGTCTGCAGGTGGGAGATATTTTTCTTTCTTTCTACAATTGATGGATAAGCCCTAAAGCTGACCTAAAGGTCTACTGGCATGGCTTCCAGAAGTCTGAGTACCTGACCCCTCTTCTCCACAGCACTGACTTCAAGAATGTACGTGGTCTGAGTTCAGTTAGCCTGATGGCTGAGTGCTATGGATGAGAAATTTCTTCAGGCCAAATTGTAGGGGGTTATCTACTTTAATAATCATACTGAAACTCTGATCTAAGTGAACTGGTTCTCTAACCTCCTTTGTATTAGGTTGGGTTTGAAAAGGAACAGCTGAGCTTCTAGAAGGACTGACGTGATGTTGATTCACTCAGATGTGACCTCTCACCATTTTGTACCCTAAAGGTGAGGATCGGATACCAGCACCTTCACCTGTCCCAAGAGGATGACCTTTGTGGCCCTCTCTGCATTCATGTCCTAGGTTTTTAAGATAATAAACTTTACTTAATTTACTCAAGAAGTGACCACTGAAGAGTTAAAACAGTGGTCACCTAGGTCTCAACAGATTAGGAATTTTAAAATTAACATCAGCATGTTATTTACTTTTACAAATAACATGAAAAAAAAAAGACAGAAGAAAACAAATGCAAAGCTTTATGTAAATAATTTACAGAGATAAACTGAAGGGAGTGGTCTGTTTCTCTAAATAAACCCGAACAAGTATTTGTGCAATGTTGTTAATACAAAAGAAAACATAATCTGTGTTCAGTGTTCTTCCACATTCATCTTATTGTCACCGTGAAGTACTATTACAGGAACTTGGAAATATACTCTTAAAGAAATCTAGAATCCAGTTTTTCCCAAACTCCACAGTTCAGATCAAAATTGCTTACACAAAATTAATTCTTTTGTGTGTAATCTTCTTTCCTTATTAAATTACAATATGCTTAAGGACAAATGCTTGTTTTACATCCCTTACAAGGCAGTGAAGGACCACTGAAGGTGATGCTTATGTAACATAGGTTAGTATGTGCTTTGGTAAGAATCAGATCTGGCCCTAATCAGTTTGGCTGTGGACACAGCATGGGCCTGAGGACCAAAGGAGAGGGATAGAGAGTTAGAAACATTGATGAGAGAGAAACATCAATCAGCTGCCTCCTGCCCACCCCCTACAGGGGATAGGTACATGCCCCCAACCAGAATCGAACCTGGGACCCTTCAGTCCACAGGCTGACGCTCTATCCACTGAGCCAAACCAGCCAGGGCAAGAGTCCTGGTTTCTATTCTGGTCAAGAGCACATGCCTGGGCTCAATCCCCAGTGTGGGGCGTGCAGGAGGCAGCCAGTCAGTGATTCTCATCATTGATGTTTCCTTCTCACCCTTTCTCTCTGAAATCAATAACAGATCTGTGTTCTAATTCTTAGTGGACACTTTCTAGCTGAGAAACCTTGGTTAAATCATTTTCCTTTAGGAGAAAATGTAAATCCTTTCAGCAAATACTTAGGCTGTGTCAAGTACATAAGAGATTTGGCTATGAACAAAGTTGGCAGCATTACCATCCAAGAAAGGCACAGAAGACATAAATTTGAAAAACCGTGAAAGATCTTCTCTCCAAACTTTGTGCATATTAAATGAGATACTCATGCTATTACTTGGTTCATTGCCTAGCACATAATTAACTCTCAGTAAGTATTAGAGACAACTTTGCAAAAACAATGCAGACTGAAGTTTGGGTTTCACCTCCTTATCACGTGACGACCGCCTTTTACACAGTGGGCTCCCCAGGTCTTTTCATTCAGGATTTCACGAGCGTCTACAAGCTGGACGGAAAAGCCCTAGCTACATAGGACACAAAGGCCAGATGCAGCCCGTGGGTGGCCGCCTCTCACCTCCAGCAAACCCGTTAGGATGCCAGCGCCGGCCCTCGTAGGCCTTGCGGGAGCTCTCATTGGCTAGTCTTCCTCGGAAAAGCACGCCTTTCCCCGCCCCCTTACGTTGCTGTCCAATGCGCGCCTTTCTACTCCGCCCCTCCCTCGCTGCCCAGCCTCCCTGGCGGGTTCGCGCCATTGGTGGATGTCCCTGCGCGCGTGCGCACTTGCTCCCGGGCCCCGGCGGGGCGGGGGGAGGCCCACTGCGCTCCGCCCCGGTGAAAGGGTGGTGGCGCCGCTGGGCGGGGCCGAGGTCAAGGGCTGGCGGCCCGGCGGCTCCGGGGCCTGCGATCTGTTGCGAAGCTACGTGCTTCCGAGGCAGAGCGGGCTCCGCTGAGCGCCGTCCGCCCGCGCCCGCGCTGAGCTTCCCGCTCGGGCGGCTGCGCTGCTTGTCCGCGCCGACGTCGCCCCGAGTCTCCAGCATGAACGAGCTGAGGCTTCGGGCGGTCCGCGACCCGGACGCGCCGCCGGTGGAGAAGGTAAAGGCGGCATCCGGCTGGGCGCGGTCGGGGCAGCGGCTCCTGCCGGAGGTCCGCGGGTGGCACGCGCAGGAGGGGCGGTCCAGCTCTTTGTGGCGGCGGCCGGCGGCCCCGGGCCTTGGCAGCGCGAGGGTCCTTGGCTGCGGGATCCCCGAGGAGCGCGTCAGGGGTCTTTGAGTCGGGGTTCCCCGGAACACGGCTCTGGGGTCCGATTGGGGGTGGTCTCCCCGCGGCGCAGGAAGGAGCGCGCGGGAGTTTGGGGGTCCGATTGGGGGTGGTCTCCCCGCGCCGCCTGCCTCCCAGGGATGGTTGGGGTGCCCCTGCAGCCCCTCACATCCTGAGGTCTTTCCGGGGGTGAAGACTTGGAGACCCCCGTAAAGCCTTCTCGGGCAGGCGACTCTACTCCTCTGTGCCCGGCTGAGGCTCTTCCGCACCCCTCTAAAAAAATTTTTTTTTGGGGGTGGGGTGTTATCAAGACAAGACCCTGGGATCTGCCTCTGAGGACATTTAAATCCCTTGAAAGCGAAATCCATTGGCTTTAAGCAGAGAGGTCTCTTGACTCACGCAGTCAGCAGGTGTTGGAAAGTCTACTCCCCATAGAGGGGCTTGCTCCCTGCTTTGAGTGTGGACATTGATGTGGTACAGGAGGGAAAGGACAGAGACCATCTTGGGGATGCAGCTGGTTGGGGGGTGAGGGGTGAGGGGAGTAGACTGTTTTCATTGAAGTGAAGGTTTGTGTAAGGGGTTGAGAAAGGTAAAGGTAAAGTGTGGTTGTGATGCTGTAGATATTGAATGACAGCATGTAGGTAGGTGGGGACTTGGTGGTAGTGTTTCGAGCAGTGCTTGGTTTTGAGCACTGGAGTTGGCAGCGGTGTGTAGAATGGACTGAGGGAGCCTGCACCAGGATGAAAGGGGATGGCTAACTTGGGGGTTGCTAGCGGGTGACCTGCAAATGTTTTCTCTGGTCCAGGCGTTCCTTTAAATTAAAACAAGAAGACTTGCCCTGACAGGGTAGCTCCGTTTGGTTCTATAGCCCCTTTGAGTTCTATTCCTCTCCAGGGCACACACTGGAATTAACCAATAAATGCATAAATAAGTGGAACAACAAATTCTCTCTTTCTCTCTTATCAATAACGATCTGAGTTTCTTGCTTATGTTGCGTAATTGGAAGATCCTCCATCTTGTCCCCACTTGATGAACATTTGGCTGGAGTTGAGTAGCAGTGGTTTCCACCAATCCCTGCACCCACTTATGTAGCTTGCAGACCACTGGAGGGAAGTGGGTATTAGGGAGACATTAGGAAAGCAGATTTGGTGATAGGGTACAAACAGAGTAGTTTTACCAGGAGGGATGTCTTAGGTGAAAGAATGCTTAGCTTTAAACAACTCTTGTTGCTTTTGACAGAGGATCATCCAAGGAGAACACTCCATGTTGATTTTTAGAATAAAATTTGGAGAAAATTTAGGGCTTCTGTGTAAGTTTAGGAGTTAGTTGCAGAGACAAGGTACTTTGAAATCCCTACTTTTCCTATTAAATACCCTGGTTGGACCTGGGAGAACTCTATTCCCACCCTGTATACTAGTTGGAGCTATGGAGCCCTGTTTAAGGGTGACAGGGTCAGACTTATTAATGGCACTTTGGGGCCTTGAAGGTGTGAGAAGAGGGAGAAAAAAGAAGGCATGAGAACTAGTGTGCTATGTTTTTAAAAAGCTATTTGTAGCCCTGCTGGTTTAGCTCAGTGGAAAGAGCCTTGTCCTGCGGACTGAAGAATCCCAGGTTCAATTCCAGTCAAGGGCACATGCCTGGGTTGTGGGCTTGATTTCCAGTAGGGAACGTGCAGGAGGCAGCAATCAATGATTCTCTCTCATCATTGATGTTTCTATCTCTCATTCCCTCTCCCTTCCTCTCTGAAATCAATAAAGATATATATTTTTAAAAAACCTATTTGTTATAATTAGACATACTTGCTGATAAAAAATAAAACAACTTCCCCCTGTCTCCCCCACTCCTCCCACTGGATTACAAGGTGAAACCAAAGTTCCTGTCCTCCCCACCCAAAATTCCTTGGATCCATCTTCCAGAGAAAACGTGCTGGCCAATGACACCCCAATAAATTCAATAAAGTAAAAAACAAAAAACTCACAAAAACCAAAATGCCCCACAAAAGTCTCTTAACAAGAAAAGACTTTCTCATCCCTGTTTTAGGTAGGGAGGACAGGAGGAGCTGTCCAGCTAAATTTTTTACAATTGCTCTTAAACACTTAGACAATAACAGAATGCCTGGGGTTGTGAGGTCCACTAAGCTCGTGTTGCTTCCTAAAGTACAGCAGTTACTGTATTCTGTTAAAAGCCTGATGCAGTCCATTAGCTCCGAACAAGCAAACCGTCCCTCATCCCATCACTGCCTGAATTTCTTGCTTATATTAGACTAATCTTAGATAATTGGAAGATCTCATAACACTCTGAACTTCTTGCTTATATTTGTCTTTGTTGAGTGTATACTGTAGAGTTTTAAAGAATATTGATTTATTTCATTTCATAGGTTGCAAAACCTTCCATGCTTTTGGCTTTATCAGTAATCTTTTTTTTTTAATTAAAATTACTTATTTATGAGAGAGAGAGAGAGAGAGAGAGAGAGAGAGAGAGAGAGAGAGAGAGAGAGAGAGAGAGAGAGAGAATGAAAGAACTGCTCCACTCACACATGCATTCATTGGCTGCTGTGCCCTAACTAGCGACTGAACCTGCAACCTTAGAGTATCAGGAAGATGCTCTTAACCAACTGAGCTACCCAAGCAGTGCTTTCCCATATTCTTGTTAGAACTTAAGAAAATTAGGAATAACTAAAAAGGAGATCTCTTTAGGGAAATGAATTGTGAAATGGGGACTTGCTTATTTCATAGGAGAATTCAGAACACAATATCAGATCAATTTATTAAAAGAACTGTTGAAAGATTCTTTAAAATGTTACAGTTGCTTAACCGCTATGGCAAAAATTTCTTGTAAATAAGCACACAATCATTAGTTTCAAAATAATCTGGAGAATGTATTTATTACAAAAGTTAGAGATGTTTTGTTATATTTAGCATCAGAATGGAATTTTCAGAGCCTGTTGCTAATAAAGGAAATGTTTTTCTCTGGGAACCATGCTTATAATTTTAAAGTCCCAAAGCACAGTATTGTTGCCAAACTAAGAAACTTGGAATTTAAACATTGGGAATGATTCTCTTCCTTTCCAACCATGTTTTCACAATGTAGTTTAGGAAAGAAGAGGATGAAGCATGGGCCAAAAGATTGGCATCTTAAAATTTATGATTGGGTTGGCATTTCAGGAGTCTTTGTTTTAAAGGTTAGAGTGAAAGTTTGCGGTTTTCTGCTGTTCTTAGATGCTGGGGTGTTATTTAAATTAGAGCTCTACTTTTTTCCAGGCTTCCTGTCTAGATTGATGCAACCAGTATCAGGAGGAAATAGTGACCTTATTTAGAAGAGGGAGTTTAAATTTTAAAGCTGGGCTTAGGAGTCAGATTCATCTTGAGCCTGGGTTCTGCACTCTATGAGATGTATAACTGAGCAAATCACTTGTATAAAAGCCTCAGTTTGTCCATCTCTAAAATGGAGCCATAAAACAGCATGTGCATCAGAGGCTGTTCATGTGGATTAAGTGAGTATACATGTTATATAGGTAGGGCAGGAAGAGTCACATTGTAATAATATTTTAGTTATTCTGGTTGAAACATGGTTTTACAAAAAAAAAAAAAACTTTAATATTCACCTTCCATTCTTGGATGATTAAACCTTCGAGTTATACATGTTTGGAATAGTCTTTTCCGGTTCATCACCTTTTAAGAAAAATGTTATGGATGGAGCTTTGCCTTCTTTTCAGTTCATTTTCTTGCTGAGGTTTTCAGTGCTCAGAATCACAGTCAGGCTTTAGTTGTAGAAGGAACATTGTTGTATACAATTATCTTTCCTTCAGCAGAAGCTAAAAATTGTAGGATAGTGTTGAATAATTAGAAGTGAACTACTAAAATAATAAAATCTTATTTTAAGAACTATAACTACTTCAGATATAGAAGAAATGCTTTGTTTAAAAAATTTTTCTTCATTAAGAAGTACTTTGGTATTGAAAAATCAGTGAATCTTAACTTTGGTTCCCAGCCTTAAAAATAGGGAGAAATGGTGAAAGATTGATTTGTCATATACCCACCATTTTTTATTTTATTTTTTATTGTATTTTTAAAAATATATTTTATTGATTTTTTACAGAGAGGAAGGGAGATAGAGAGCTAGAAACGTCGATGAGAGAAACATCAACCAGCTGCCTCTTGCACAACCCCTACTGGGGATGTACCCGCAACCAATGTACATGCCCTTGATCGGAATCGAACCTCGGACCTTCCAGTCCGCAGACCAATGCCCCAAACCGGTTTCGGTCCCACCATTTTTTAAAATATATTTTATTGATTTTGTACAGAGAGGAAGGGAGAGAGAGAGTTAGAAACATCGATCAGCTGCCTCTTGCACACCCCCTACTGGGGATATGTCCGCAACCAAGGTACATGCCCTTGACCGGAATCGAACCCGGGACCTTTCAGTCCCCAAGCCAATGCTCTATCCATTGAGCCAAACCAATCTTGGCACATATACCCACCATTTTAAGTTTCTTAATTTGTTGATTAATAGTACAATTTTATTTTAAAATTCAATGACTTCCCAATTCATGAGTATTTAAAATTATTTTTATTTTTTTTAAAATATATTTTTATTGATTTTAGAGAAGAAGGGAGAGAGAAGGGAGAGAGGGATAGAAACATCAATGATGAGAGAGAATCATTGATTGACTGCCTCCTGCACATCCCCCACTAGGGATCAAGCCTGCAACCCAGACATGTGCCCTTGACTGGAATTTAACCTGGGACTCTTCAGTCTGCAAGCCGACGCTCTATCCACTGAACCAAACCACCTAGGACTAAAATTGTTTTTTAAAGCTAATTTTGTTTAAA